GTGCTTCTCACCGCACTTGACACTTTGGAAGCTCATATCTCTGCGAGTTTGCAACCCCAGCCCAAACCCTTCACACATGCTAAATGACTCCTTTGACCCTCTCCAAAACGCTGCTAGGGTCACATAAACTCCCAAATTTCAGAGGCGCCACCAGCCAAATTCACCCCGCACTTGCGCTTTGCGCCTCCTCACGCAAAAACAGCTATCGCAAATCCAAAACTTTTCTGCCACAAGACACTCCTCAATGTGCTCTACAAACTGGCTATCAAACATCTCCGACCCTAATTCCAGACACCCTTGTAACCCTAACCCTAACCCTCAGTATCAGGGCATCTTTCTGCTTCTTCTGAGCCCATGTTGTTTTTCAATCCCTTTGGGAACCGGTATGTAACCCTAACCCTAACCCTAACGGCGCGCGCAACAGGTGTCGAGCTTGCGCGGCGCGAGCTGGCGCGATGGCGACTGATTCGAGCTGAGCAGCTTGCCGTCGAGAACGCCCAGTTGAAGACGCAGGTGGCGGCGCTCACAACAAAGACCTTGGAGATGTCTACAAGCGATGTGCCCCTGGCCCAGGAGATGGCAGAGCAGAATGAGCAGCTACACGCCGAGCGCGCTGCATACACGGCGAGCAATAGAGAAAGCGTGCTCATGTCAAAGGCGCAGGAGATGGACTCTCACAATCAACAGCTCGCCATGCTGCTCTTCAAACCACGCAGTGCTGTGGAGCGTGCTGGATTGAGACGTCGCTTGAAGGAGAAGCGCAATGAATGGAAAGAGGATCCAGACGTTGTGCCAGACGACATTGTCAGAGGCTCACGCATCCTCAAAGACGACTATAAGAAGACAATGTCGGCAATGGTGCCGCTGCCCGAACAAGTGCGTCTGAATCTCATCTTTGTCAACGCGATCGACGCTCCACCGCGCGAAGTTGCCAGTGTCCAGCAAGTGGGGCCTGTCACTGGACGTCGCATTACGCTCGCAGACCCCAATGCGGTGCTGCTCAACGCCCATCTCGAGCCGGTGCTTTACGAGTGAGATGCGAGGCGCGTTTGCAGCTCGGTAGATACAAACCTTGTAGCTCTGTAGATACGACACTCACGCACGGCACTCGATTTCAAATGACGATGACGAATACGGCATCTTGAGAAAATTTGTGACAACATTGTCAGTGTGAAAAGTCAAGTGACAATGTTGCGAGTGTGAGAAAGCAAGTGGCGATGTTGCGCTCGCGCGGCACGGTGCGAACTTGGTGAATTGCGATCCAGATGCACGCAGTGGCGGTTGACAATGACAGTGACGGTGACGGTGACAGTGATGGCAACGCTCACTGGGCGCAGGGATCTTGCACCCGATGGTGGTCGTGATGCGCGCGCCAGGAAGGTCACTGCAAAATTCGCGTCGGCTCACGCTACGGGAAGGCCGGCCCTGCCAAGCTCCCGTAAACTGGGTTTACGGGCCACCCCTGCCAACTCCCGTTTAGTCCGCACGGGCAAACCCTGCATATTTGCTCACACAGTCTACAGGCACCAGAGCAGTCACACGTGTCAGCGGAGAGCAACCCTGGAGCGCTCGCTGCTGCCTTGGTGACCAGCGTGCCAAGCCTACGCTCGCAGGCGCGCACATGTCTGCTCTTCATCATCCGAAACAATGACGATCGTCATGGAATGTTCACGGGCGCAGGTGGCGGTTCATCTTTTAATACGCGCACAACGTCAACAAACTCGCTCCACACGGGTTAGTCGTCCAGGGAGAACGGTGAGCAGGCGGCGGCGCTCGCGGGCGAGTAGGAATGCCAACGGACTAGCGTTACGTACGCCAAGCGCACATCAGACGGCCAACGCAACACGTACATCCGCCGCGTGTCTCGACAGAGTGTCGAGCGCATCGTCGCAGTTTGCAGCAGAGAGGTAGCCAGGTTGCACAAGGGAGGACCCCATCGCTACTGCATATGGGACATACACTCTGTGCATGACTCCGATCTCGTGACAACGCGTCTAATCTCATACGACAACTGCAGCCGCTTTCGAGAAGGGTACCAAAGCCTGTCACGAGACGAAGTCGTGACCTTGGCCCTGTACTCCAACACTTTGTACGGGACTCGACCCATCGGTACCGTTTGCAAGGACGCCTCAAGGGGTGAGCGCCTGAGCAGGCCATTGGACGCCTGGACGCTTTTGTGCATCTATCTGTGCAAACCCCACAACCCGCCAGTCTCTTTCTCGGCTTGCCAGCTGTACACGATCAATTGCGGCTTATCTCATTGTTGCCGTTCCTGGTCCCACATCGAAATGAGCGCGCGCTGCCTCTTACCGATCCGCAAATTAAAGCTCTCTCGTGCACAACGAAGCGCGACCCCTCAATTTGAACGCCTGCACGAGCTACTTTTGCTCCATTCAAGCATTTATTCAAGGTCAATGCGGACTCGACGAGCGGCTGCAAGCTTGCAACGACGAACTTGAAGACCCTCGGCAGTTGCGTTATCCTCGCGATTTGCGGAACTACACACGCAGAAGCGCCTCGAGCCTGCACAGATTTGACACGCAGAAGCGCTCTATATGTGCTCGCCTTACGTCTTCTCGTACGCGCCTTTTCTACGCAGCAAATGCGAGCCTCTCCGATAATTTCTCCAAGTGTCTGTGAGAATCACTCCTTCCGCCTTGGCGCGCGCATCGATGGCAGCTTGTATGCGCTTTGCGTGCTCGGTCTCGCCAGCTGACCGAGCGTGGTCGCGGAAACGGAAAAGTTGTGCTACACCGTAGTCCGAAAGTGATGTGCTTGCCCACTCCGATGGCGCATGCGGTAGCGCAGACACCTCTGCTCTTCGTGCTCTCTTCTTTGGAGACTGACCCAGTTTAGCTGCGATCTCGCGCTCGCGTTGTCGCTTTCTGAACATCATGACGTAAAAGTGACGGCTGGAATTTGGGACTCGCACCCCGTTCTGTGCTGCAAGGCTTGCAATGCGCGACTCTACATCTGCCGTGCCCTCCTTCTTGGCAAGCGCTTCCTCCTTCTCCTTGAACAGTTGCGCCATGCCGTACTGCATGTGCGTGCTCGAATCTCCCACGATTCTGGGACGCGCCAACCATTCGTCGTACGTCTCTGGGGCATTGCTCAAGCCTGCAGCAACCGCTTTAGCGTCGATGGCCGCCTGTACCGCTTTGGTCTCTTGACTCCTGCCGCTGCCTTGCTTGTATCCGCGGAGCGCGTCTAGGCGCCTCTCGCGATCTCGCTGCGCGTACAAACGCCGCATGCCTGGCGTTTGGCGAGGTGTGCGGTGCGACATCGAGGTGTCGTCGATCTTCTGAGCTCCCGCCGATGCGCTGTCTTTGCTGACTACGCTTCCGCTGTGCTCCTGCGCTGGATCGAGCGAGTTCTTCATTGATCTTGGAATGGCGACGTAATACTCGTAATGATTCTTGGGCACCGGCATCTTCTTCTCTCGAGCCAAGGCGGCGATGCAAAGCTCGATGGCCGACGTGTCTTGACCAGCTTTCACGAGCCTCTTCTTTTCCGAAAGAAAGCTGCACATGTTCTGGCCTGGTCGTGCTGAGCGATAGATCGAGGGCGATTCTGCAACACGCTTACACGCTTGTCGTGATGCAGCCCTACTCCGCGCCGCTGCGTCTGCACTCGACCCATTCGGCAACTTCAAATCGCTATGAGGCGTAATGGCAAGTGTCTGGCGACTGGGCGAGCGGAGCAGAGAATCGACAAACTCGTTTGCCTGTCCAACGGACATGTCAGGTGATTTTGGCGACGGTGACCAGTGATGCAGAGTGTCGAGGTCTGCACTGTGCGACCAGACTTGCGATAGAGGGGAGCTGATCGATGCAGTCGAAGCGATATGATGCGTGATCAAAGGACCCAGCGCATGATCGTGGAGTGGTGCATAATGCGGTGAGCGTTGCGGACGAGCAGCACTGCGTTGATTTGGCACGAGTGACCCCTCCAAATGCAAGTAGTCCTTTGGCAGCTGCGAATCCGTGACGTGCGAGTGTCGGGAACCTGTCTGATCCGCGCGAGGCTTGCCTCGGCTCCGAGTGTCGCCCGTAGACTCTGCTTCGACGCGCGTCGCATCAAGAGAGCTCCATCGGTCAGACTGACTTGGAGGGGAGCTAGCACCAGCCTTGTGCTCGAAGGCGGTGCGAGTCGACTGCCACGAATGTGTCTGCAGTGTCAAGGCGGACCTTGGCGGCGGCGGCGGCAGCGTTTGGGGCCACAGCAGTGTATGACCTTCGTCAAAGTCTTTGTGTGGCCACGCAAAGCGCGAAGCAGCCGATCGGAGGGTTTGTGAAGTGCCAACAATGCTTTTCGCGTGTGCTTGATGAGTATGATCTCCCGCGGAGAGGCTATAGCCTCCCGCGAGATCGTTGTGTAGTGGAGACGAAGCGGATGCGATCGAATTCGTGGTCCGCTGATGTTGGACTAGGGAGGTCGCCGCAGCCTCCAGATGCCGGCCCACGTCCCTCGTTAGAGACGACTCGTCGGGTGACGCTCGTCCAGCAAGCCATGTGGCCGCCACTGTGGTTGCAAAAGGGAGACCTGCGGTGAGTGGATAGATGAAAGCAGTGATTCGCATGTTTGGGTGCGCTTGGTCGGCTCGCGGTTTGCACGCAGCGCTGCATCGCTGGGTAGAAGATTGGGGGGACGTACCTGACGCAGATCGCTCGCGATATCAACTCAATACTTATAGACCACATGATCGCAAAGCATAGCATCACCAACAGCCCCACCCTTGCAGTCTCCCATGCCGAAAGCAGAGCGCGTGGCGATTGATCGGGTCTACGCCGGCGAGGCTGTAGCTAAGCGCGACCCGGAAGAAGCATGCGATGTTGTAGCTGCACGTCACAAGCGCAACGTCGGCCTAGCAGTGACTCAGCAAGTGGCACGGAGCGCGACGAGAGGTCAAGCAGAGGCAAAGCACTGCTCTGCTAAAAATGGCAGACTCGTGCATCAAGTCGTTAGGCGAGCAGCTGATCAACGTCACCAACAAGCATTCAATGACCGCTTCCCCGACGCAACCGGCGTAACGTCTGCGCTCGAGTGTGGGGTCGCACGGTGGCGTATCATCACCGAAGAAGTTGCGCCCATCGTGCAAGCGGCGCGTGCTGCAAAATGACACCCTCAAAGTCGGGCGGTGGCGAGGCGACAAAGCGCGCAAAAGCTCCACGCCGACCTGCACAGTGATGCTGGCGACATCGACCGTTTTGCCGCCATCGAGCTTCGCTGGCACGGCTTCGCGTGCACACAGCAGGCTCGTACGCTGCGACGAGAAGAGGGCACCACCAACGCAAGGGGGTTCAACCATCAGTGTACAGATGACAATTCCGCCTCAAATAGCCCATCAATTCTGAATTACATCATGCGACGAGATCTCGAGGCCGAGGCTTGGAGCTGCACTTGTGCTGTCGCGTGCATCGACAGGTGCGGCACTGATTGGAATTGTTGCAGTAATCGCCAGACTCGCCCAGATATGCCTTTGGAACGCAGCGCTGCGTGATGCACTGGCCGCGCATGCACGCTGCGTCTCGATTGCACGCAGCACCAAACGGCTTCTTGCCTTTGCAGATGCCAAAGTGACCCGAAGCGGGCTTGGAGCAGTAGCCGGTCTTGCAGTGCTGATCGTCGCTGCAGTAGCATCCAGGATCGCCTTTGCTAGGAGCGGGCGCGCACCTTCCATTCGCATCGCACTTGCCTGAGAAGCACACGGCATCGCGAAGGCACGTGCTGCCCGGCAGACGCTTTGGAAGGCATTTGAAGGAGCGTTTGCTGCAAAAGAGCAAAGAGTGGATGCACTGCGCATCGGCGTTGCAGTATTGGCCGAGGAGAGCAGTGCCATGATTGGCTACGCAATGGCCCTCGTTGCACGCATTGCTCTTGCAGTCGCCTGGCAAAGTGCACGTCCCGCCCAAGGGGGCCTTTGCAGGCGGCTCTGGCGGTGTGACTGGAGGAAAGTAGTACTCTTGCAGAGCGACGAGGTCGATTGCACTGACAACGGGCGACGCAGCCCACGGAGCTTTTCAGCAGTGGGATCACCTGCACTCCAGACGCTTACGCCACTCACATGTTTCCCGGCTGATCCTGCAGCCTAAAGGAGAGCGTTTTGGCACCGACAGAGCCTTGAATGAAGCCGGGCACGCAGTACTGCGTCCATGGTCGGCCGCGCGGGAAGCTGGTGACGGGGCTGCTCAGACTGCTCCCATCGATGCGAGCATCCAGCAGCATGCCAGGGCCAAAAGAGACGCCGTTGCGTCCGCCGGTGCCGCGGGCAAAGAAGCTGAGAATGTACTTTTTGCCGGGCAGCAGGGTGTAAGCGCCTTCGGAAGTGTAGGAGATGATCTCATTCGTACCGAAACGCTCAAAGTACTCTCCATCGTACGCGCTCTCCCCATCGCGAACATCGTCTGCACCAGGACCCACGCGGTTCTCATTGACGCTCAGGAAACTGGGTGTCCACTGCGCTGCTTCTGTAAAGTACTTGTCTTGCGTCGCGCTTCTCGCATCGACCGTCTCGAAGCTCGGGTTGAGCACGAGGTTGGGCGTGGATGGCATGCGCTCCGGGCACGTCCAAGAGGAGAGGGCAACGTCGTCGCCGCTCGGCTGCTCTGTGGCGAGGGCAAAGGCGCTGCGAGTTGCCAAGGCGGCGACAACAGCGAGAGCAGCAAAGAGCGAGGTGTGGGCGCGCATGATGGAGCGGCAAGGTGGATTGAAGGAGCGCGGCTTGCTGGGTGGGTGGTGGTGGAGGAGGAGGAGAAGGAGAGGAGGAGGAGTTGCTTGCGCTGGTGACGCTTTGCCGGGCATTATAAGCCAGTGGTGGCCATTCCATTCAACATTGCAATTGCGGGCATGGCGTGCCATCCTGTTCATTATAGCTGTGCGCGCCGCTCGTCAGCATCGCCTGACTTGCCGTCTGTGACGTCTTCTGTTTGGAGTGCAGTGCCTCGCTCCATCCCGCAGCTTGCTTGTACGTACGCACGCACGCACGCACGCACGCACGGCCCCTCCTTTCGATGTCCGCCTTTTCCCCCCCTCGCACTCGCGCACTCCCGCGTGCACCCACAAACGTCCCGTGGTGCTCGGTGACCGACCTGACCGATGAAGATGGCAGGGCAGGGCAACCGAAGCGCCTTTGCTCGGCATGCAAAATCACAGATGCATGGCTGCTTGTGCGCGCGGCACCCACAGTCAGAGTCGTGAGTGTTGTGAGTGGGAGTGGGAGTGTGCGTGTGCGTGCATCACAACAGCTGCTGGCCGCGACAAAAGTGAATTGTCGATCCCGCAACCCTTAATTGTTGACAGATGCGGTGGCTTGGTGTGGCTTGCATGCAGGTACCGGTGCAGGTACAGCGGCAGAGCTGCGGAGACTTTTGACTTTTGTTCCTCCTCGCATCACCGCATTCATTCACAATCTACTGTACGTGATAGGTGACTGTGAATCACATCTGTGGCGTGCGTGAAATGTCAATTTGTATCTTGAACCGATGAAGCGAATGACGAACCGGCTGAGTGGGTGCGTCTGAGCCCGAGTCCCGTTCCGAGTCAAGAGTGGTGGGGATCGATGGCGGATGGCGGGTGATGGCGGGAGCTATGAAGTGAGTGAAGCCATGCATGCATGCATGCGATGCGCGGGCGCTTTGTTGACATGCGCGCGACTTTTGCTCGATGCGCGCGTCTTGGTCATCTTGCCCGCCGTGTCCGCGCGCTTGCTTGTCTCAGGGGCATGGGCATGGAAGCAGAGCAACATATATGCACCCGCGGGGGGGGGGGGGGGGCGTGGCCTACAGCTAGCATGGTACATTCGTGATTCAGATTCACAATCTTGAATCATTGAATTCACGTTTGCGTGCGTGCGAGATGCACGCGTGCATGTTATATTGATGTGAGCTTGAGCATTTCCCGCGCCCCTGCATGCACGCCGGCAGTCAAAGTCGTGATTCGAGTGTGCGGTACTGTACCACACCGCTCGCAAGGATGTGCATGGCGCAGTGATGAGGGATCCGCGGAATCATGTGAAGGACAAATCCAATCGAATATGAATACGATGATTGAATCAAGCATCTTGGATTTGATTTGAATCACCATCAATCTTGAATGTGAGCCGCGAGTGATGGTTAATCAAGAATCACGTACAATAACCACTCAAACTCATTCTTGAATCACCCTTGACTCGTCAATGTCAAGTGCCCCATGCATATTGAGCTCTTGAGTCAAACGTGCGCTGCGAACAGCGGGGAAGCAAGGAGGGGGAGACACCGAGACTCGCTGGTCAGGTGTCTACGGCGTCGAATACCTTCCTCGAAGCCCATTTGCGATCTCATTCCCGCGGTGAACAGCACAGGCGAGGCTTGAGACATCTTCGGGCCTCTTTCCATGACTGCTGCATCCCTAGCGTTTGGCGAGATCACGTGCAGAAGTGGACAAGCAAGCTTCAGCGCACAAGTGAGAGACGTGGTGCCGCTGACAAAAAGGCCGACTGCCTGCAGACCCAACGCAGCTGTATCGCTGCCCTCTTCTTTGACTGGCAAGCTTTCAAAGGCAGCCAAGCAGGTCTTCGGCCGATGCCGAGGTTGAGCGCAGATTCGACCCTCATTCGGAGGAATCCCCGCTCACCGCACCTCACTGGGGCCAACGTCAGCGGTAGAGCATCGTCACCAGGAAACGCCGGTGCTCGAGCTATGGAGATGCGCTCCGCAGAGGTTCTTCGGTCGCCGCTGCTGCCTTCGCCGCCGCTCGCTTTGCGCGTTTCCTCTTTCTCGAAATCATGTCGTTGAAATGCTGCCTCGATTTTGGATGGCTCACGCCGTGCTGGGCCGCCATCTCGGCAATGCGAGCATCGACGTCGGTGGTCTCCCTGTTGTTCCGCATCGCCTCGTCCCGTTCTCTGAAAAGAGCAGTGGCGCCTGAGCGCAGTTGATTGACCCTGTTGAACGTCCTGATCGGTCGCGCAAGCCATTCTGCGTACGTATCAGGCGCTTTTGCGAGACCGGCCGTGCGAGCACGTGCATCGATGGCCGCCTGAAAAGTGTCGGTGCGCGTGCCGATCGCCTTTGCCCAATCTTTCAGCTTGTAGATCTGTCGAATGTCGTTTGGCAGGTGCGGCACAAACTCTTCCGCTGTTCCCTTCCAGCGTTTTGCGGAAAGTAGGATCTGCATCTGCGCTTTTGACGGCCTCAGGCGTCGGGCATCGGAGTTTGTCCTCTGCGCACCGTCGATGCTCCGACTCGTCCCATCAACGTGATCACTTGTCTTGGACGTGCTCCTCGTGCCCCGTGTCCCCTCTCCCGGTGATGCATCGACGTTTCCTGCTTGCTTTTGGGTGCCTTTCATATTTGGCAGAGTGCTTGAATCGGAAGCGACCGAATGCAGCAAAGGCGACGCCGCTTGCTGCTCATTGCTCCTAGCATCCGGCTGCACTGCTGTCGGAGACCCACCAACGGACGCGCTGGAGCTCGGATGCAGCGGAGTGCGTGGCGGCGTACCATCAGGCGTGCGCAGCAAAGAGTTGATCCAGTCATCATCCACTGCATGCTGTTGGTGCAGATGCGTGCCATGAGCTGGCGACGGCGTTCGCAGGAGATCATGCATCTCATCCAAGTCTATATTGTGCCACCAAGCCTCTTCATCGGTGTCAGGCTGTGGGTGGTGCGGTGCAAGTGAAGTGTCAGAGACGTGAGCCTCGTGACTTGCAGGTGTCGAGGCGCGCAGAGGCGAAAGCGTCAAGTGCTCGGATGAACCGACGGAAGTCGAGACATGGGTGGGTGCGGGACCGTGAACCCACAGACGCGCACTGGCGGCATTCGTGTCTGGTGGCAAGTTATTGGCTTTGATATTTGGTAGCTGCGAGATGTGCGCATGGGTTTGCCGCGCATCTCTCAAGACGTCAGAGGTAGTAGAGCGGAGCGATGATGGAGGTAGCGCAGGGGCACGTGCAGTCAGTTGCCAAGCCGTCGCCCATCTCTCTTGTCCATCCCCAGCGGCTACCAGCACCACTATGAATGCGGAAACTTGCATGACCAGATGAATGGGAAGCTGCTCTAAATGTTGACCCTCTCGCTGCTATCGTCAATGTGAATTTGACTGTTGAGTCGCAGAGCACGTCAGACATTCCTGCTTGCGATGCAGGCGATGCAAATCGTTGTCGGGCGAGCTTCGACGATTTGAGGTTTGAGCATACAGCTAGCACTCTCTCGATGACCATTTTTACCTGTTGGAGAGGCGCGAGTGGAGGCCTTGCTACGCCAAGAGTGGCGCATTCCACAGTAGCACGCCACCGCGACGATAATTTGAGTGGTGAACAAACTCCCTGTAGTTTTGCGCTCCTGCGCCCTCGGCGTGTGGTGGCCCTTGCAGATCCTTGTGCTGAATTCCCTTCTGTATTCAAGCAGGCGTTCCCAGCTCGCGAGGCCTTCAAGACTGAGATGTTGCATTTCCGATTGGCTCTACTCCCATTAAGCGACGCAACTTCGCTTCTGTAGGCCAAGAAATTGCCGCCGGAGATGTCCCATCACGAAAGAGTCTCGATTGCACCAGCCACCAGGAGTCGCACGATATCCAAAGGATCCTATCTTCCGTTCCTACTGGCCAGATCCCTTTAGACTTTGGACCGTTTCGGATTTGATGGCAGAAAGAACGGACTCAGTCGGCGCTTCGATCGGTGGCAATCGCACGCGCCTTGACCTGCAAAATACTGGCAAGCTTCTCGAGGAGTTATTGACGTCGTATTTGCCACTCGGCGTTGGCGCCGCTGCAGCTCGAGACCACCTTATCAGAGCAAAGCGCGACAGAGACGCCTCGTTCTACCGCTGATATGAAGAGCGTATAGCCTGTGCCGTTCCCCCTTTCACTCCACCTTCATCTTTCTGTCACTGAGTCTTTTGCTTGCGGACCAAGCGTGCTCGTAGTACCTGACCAAACGTGCTCATACTAAGCGCTCTTCGGGTTGAAACACAGACCTCATCCCTTGCACAGATGCTCGGGTTGAAACACAGACCTCATCCCTTGCACAGGTGCTCACTTGTCCCAAAGTCCAAAACTACAATGCACCAGCTCGCAATAAAGTTAGCGATTGCCTTGGCTCTGCTGGATATCGCGGGAGCTTTTAAATCCGCAGCAAGCCCTCAATATGGCGCGGTCAGCGCGTTGAAGCGTGGTCTGGGCGACAAAGCGCTTTCCGACGCGTCTCACGCCATTGATGACGTCAAAATGAAGCCAGCAGAGCAGATTCTGCCTCCCAACGTACCTTCGTCCCACCGGCTACGCGTGGACTATTCCAAGCTAGAAGGAGACGATCTGAAGATGTCCCACTCGCAGCTGGTAGCGCTTGAAAGCGGAGTGAGACGCCACGCAATGCACTTACACCCAGATATGAAGACTTTCGTGCTTGAGACGGGTCCACGAAAGGCGGATCGAGACATGAGGTTGGCGCGTCCATTCAGGTCGCGTCACGAGCAGTACATCAGTGGGCAAGCGTACGACGCTGACGGAAATATCATCCCTTTCATGGAGGCGGGGGGAATCGCCACGAGGACCCATCGTATCGGCTTCAGTGGATATCTGGGACGATCCTCCTCGCGCACGCCATATACGCGTCCCCCGTCCTCGCTAGGCCGAGGAGCTTCGTCTTCAATTGTTGGGCACGACAGCCCAGCTCCAGCTCAGGACCCATCTGCTGATACGACCCTAGGAATCGAGAAGCTTCGCCTTCAGCGACGATCGCGCGGAGAAGATCAGGCGCGCCGAGGTCAGCAAGCTCATCGTTCCTAACTTCCACGGACCCCTTCAAAATATTCGCTGCGCAACCGCTGCGCAAGCGTCGAATGCGTCACGTATTCAATAATTATGGCGGGTCGATCATTCCGGCATTGCTCCCTTCGCCTACCGGGTTCGTGGGAAGGGACCAGCGCTTGGTAGGCGCGGAAAATACGTTGCTCTGCTTGGTCGGAGCAAGCGATCACAAAACAATGGCTGACCATAGACCGCACGTCGTTCTGCGTGCACCAGACGATAGTCGTATGTTTGGGCTGAGACTTCCGTCCACGAAATGTAAAGCCCAGTGACGCGGAGCTTCCATACGAGGCGACTAGCGTCCCTTGTCAACCTATGATGCAACTTTGGCACTACTCGACTGAAAGGGCCGTCGTCTGCCTCTGGCGCTTTTCCAACTTGTAACTTGCGAAAGTCGGGCGAACGGAACTAGAGAGTGCTACCTCGCGATGACTCCTTGGGTGATTCGGTACATGTAAGCAATATTGACAGCCTCCTTCGATTTGCAAGCGGGACGCGATCAAAGAGCTGGCGTCACTGCTCCTTCGGAACGTTGACTCGCGTGAGAGTCATCTCTAAAGGGTCGCGGGTGGCTCGGCGCCACGGATGACGGCTTGAGGGTAGCTTGACAATTCTGGAGGCAGTTCTTGCTATGAACCGTCGCCGCTACGCTTTGTCCCTTAGATAGCCCTGCCATGATAAAGCAGGCCTTCTTTTATTTTGAATCACGCAGAAGATGCGCTTAAAATTGTGCTCTCTGTCAGAGCTTGGGACTTGAAATGGCGCGATGTCCGCTAAGCATGCATGTCGACTCGTTCAAGATCTTGCTCCGACACCTTTCTAGCTGGTGACATAAAACCCATGGCAGCGCGAAAACGACTTGTGCGCCAGTCTGAAGCGGGACAAGGTTCAATTGATTGCGCAACGCCGAGCGCTCGTTGACGCTTACGGCAGTGTAAAGATGGTCATCCGACTGAAAACAATAAAATTCTATCTACGATATTTACAACTAGGAAGACAAGCTCGCAGTGCGGAAGCAGGGCTTTCACTCATCAACAGAGACATTGTGCACCCTGAGCTCGAAAATGGTGTTCAGCACACCAAAATCAGAGTACTCGTGAAAATGACGGTCATGTGCCTGACGGCCGATAAATAGCAGCCTTGAGGCTGACAGTCAAAATTACAACATCGGGTAATGTGCGATGGATTTTTGCTGATGACAAAAGTGTTAGCCTTCCACTTTCGAGCAAGGGGGATCTCGTCATTTTTGCGCATGGCACATGCTCCTAGTGGATTATCCCCGCTTTCGGCGTCGCTTGATTGAGTCACGCCTTCGATACTGTTTGCTTTGCGTGTGGTTTTGTCTCCATCTAATGATCGAACGATGACAACACAAATAAGAGGTACATCCGTGGCATGAACACAAAACCTTACTTGGCGCAGAGGCAATCCTCTGACTTCCAGATTAAGTTGGCCACTATTGTGCTAGATAAGGACAGACGCAGAAGTTGTTTAATTGAAACGGGCTTCGACGCGTCAGAAAGAGTGGTCAACTAGAGTATCAAAACAGCGGCATAAATTGTCAAGACAGCTGCAACTTTTGCAAGCTTGAATTTGAAGAATGAAAAAAAGATGCCGAGCGAACACGCCACGCTCTTCAATGCAGCTTTTGACTGCTCGCTGCTGGTTGTAAATTTGGTCGATTCTAAAACAGCAACGAAAAACAAATGAGAGAAGCGCCAGAGCTCGGCGAGAAAGAAAAAGTAGGCACAATGGGCGCAGAGATGTCCGAGAGTGGTTTGCGTGACTTGCATGGCGGGCAGAGATAGAACGCTCCCTAGACGGTCTCTTGCGAGCTTTTCGGCCCTAGAGAGGGGGATGATGATATTTGGGGGGAAGGGGGTTTGGGAAGTGCTTGCTGAGTGCGGTGCCTGCGTCTGCATATCCCACGAACTTTTCCAGAATGGTCAAATGACCGACTTGTTTTGCCTGCCCTCTGGATGCGAGCATGTAGCGCAGCGCTTGGTGCAAAATTTTGGGCAAGAAGCGTGCGCCAAGTCTTACCATGGTGCATTTTGCTCATTGTGGTCTCTTGGGTTCTGCTTGGGTGGGCTCTGAGTGCAGCATCCCCTCAGCAAAGCAAGGCTCTCGGTTACTGGCCAACCATGGACCTCTTCCAACCCGCCGCGCCAGAAGCGCGCACACCTGCACTCAAGCTGTCGGCATGGTTGAACGCATTCACAATCACCTACGTTGAGCACTTCATCGCCACCAAGCGGTATGCGGCTGAGCGCTGCCTCAGACAAGCCTATGAGGACAGGGTGACGCATTTGCAGCAGCGCACTAACCGGCCTGGCCTGGCCCAGCGTTTTGATGCAGCCATGGCTGGCTGTTTTCAAGTGTTTGTGGGGCATGTCACTTGTGGCTCTCTTGCAGGAAGGCACCCCAACAGTGCATACTTTTGGTGGGTCAATCTGGGTCGCGCTGCTCGCATACACCTCTACAAATCCGACATTGATCTGGAGGCAGCACCAGGAGGCTGCTTTTTATTTTGGTCTGGAGAGCCGTGGAGTAAGTGTCAGCACTGGGATGCGGAAGAGGACGACAATGGACCGGTAATGTCTGTTGTAGGCTACATGCGGGTGGGAGGCTTGGGCAAGGCCGGCGGGCTGACGGACATGCACAAGCAGTGCTTTGTCGAGATGGAGAGTTGTGCGAGGAGGATCATGGATGCGGGTAAAAGGGCTTTTGGAAAGGCACCGGCGTTTATGCGGGATGTGAACAAGACGAAAAAGGCTAGGCAGGCGGAGCAGCGGGAGCAGGACGAGGAGGAGGCCAAGGAGGCGGGGGCGGGGGCGGGGGCGGAGGCAGCAGGAGAAGGCTCGATGAGGAAAAGGATGAAAAAGCGGGTAAGCTTCTCGGGTAACTCATTGCGTGCTTGAAGGAATGGCATGAATTTGAGTGGGCGTGTTGCGCTTGTCGTGCAGAGTGAGCAAAAGTGAGCCAGAGTGAGGCGCGCGCGCGCACCCGTGAATTCTTGCACGCACACACGCGCGGGGGCGCATGCACACCTCTTGCACACACACCACCACCACCACCAAAATGCCACCCAAACATTCCTGCCAATTGCATAGAGGGTCTTGTGGAAGAGGAGCCCCTTTCCGTCCCATTCCTGACGTGCCCTTGGCCCAAGCTTCCACGCAAGAGGTCACATCTCCCGCCTCGAGCGCGCCCGCTGGTGCCGGCCCCAGCACCCAGAACATCACCTCCCCAATTGACTTTCCTGCTTGCGGTCGTCCTGCTCTGCGCGGCAGCATTGCCGCATTGTCATCATTGTCGCCCCCGCCGCCACTGCCACCACCACCAGTAGCGTCGTCATCGTCGCTGCCCCTGCCGCCACCGCTCGACACACCCCTCAACACGCGCATGGCCTCCTCTGACGATCATGTCAATGAGGATGGCATGCGCGTGTGCTCATTGTCAGAACATGGCGGACCGCAGGAAGCAACGTCGGAAGGATGGGCACCAAGGGTGAGGGCGCAAGAGCGAGAGAGATGGGAGCGGGGTGTGTCTTCATCTACATGCATCTTGACGTACTCACTGCCTGCTTGGCAGCCTCCGCGGTCGATGGGGAGGAGCGAGGAGCCCACATGCATTACGGGTCTCACAATGCTCGGGCAAAGCTTTGTTACTTTTTAGTGGCTGTTGTAGCTGTCGTGCGCGATGCTGCTCAGACTGCTGCTGTTCTCATTGCTGCTCCCATTGTGGCTCCTGCTGCGCCTTACAGTGCCCTTGTGTTTGCTGCTATTCTTGTCTCTCTCCCTGGGCCCATCACTCCATTCTCCTGCTAGACGTGGAAGCGGTCAATGAGGAAGGCCAGATGACTGTAGACTCCTGCTGTTTACGCTCGGCGTTCCTTGCTTCCTCCTTCCGTGCTGCTCACTCAGCCCTCTTTGCTTCCTATGCTTGCGCGCGGCCTCTCCAGCCTCTTTGTCCCGCCGCAAACTGTCCGAACACTTTTGTTGCCTTGCCTTCAGCAGTACCAGAGGATTGTCTGGGAGTGAGGAGAAGCTTGACAATAAATGCATTGGAGAGCTTTGAGCAATGGAACAGCGCATGTGTAAACGGAAGACGCGTGTGATGGCCAGCGTGGTGCCAACATTGTTGTGACCAGAAGACCACCTGCGCTTCAAGCGTGTAGTCGCGTTCAGCATTCACGTGAATGGGGACTTCTATGATGTTTCAGGCGTTTTTACTGGGGTCTTGTTGCGTGCAGCTGTTGCTGGCGAGCGCGTCTTGGAAGAAACGTATTTGCCTCCCACACAAGATCAGCAGCGGCGCTTGACATGTCCTAAATATTGTCATTGTTGACAATGCGGATGGCAGTGTTGTGCTGTCAGGACTTTGCCTGCGGATGTTAAAGGTGATGGAAGCACCCATCGCCTCCATGAGACGATTAGTTGCGCATGTTTTCCTGCGCAGAAATCAAGACAGCAGACCAGCATTGATGTTAGCCGAAAGCCTACAAGTGTCACGAGTGATCAGTCGTCGACAGTTAGTCGTCGGCAACAAATTTCTGAAGGTGATCAGAAAGCATTGGCACTGAACTCGCCGAGATGGATCACGAAAAAAAATTGCAGACGGTTTGCATGTCATTCAAGAGATGGACCCTCAGCTACTATGCTGGGCCCCGCCATTTGAAGGAAGGGAACAAAATGAAGAGCGTAATTGACGTTTTTTCAACTGGAAGAGAAGAAAGATTCTTCAGTCGAAGTTGTGAAGCTTCGACCCTTTCTTACCTGACACCGCCCTCGGAGCCACCTTATTCTTCTAATGCTGTGTGGCTTCGGCCAAGTGCTGATGGTCACCGTCGGTCTTCTCTTCTTTTTTCTTTGCTTGTTCACATTGTCGAGTGCTTTGCGCTTCTTTGCGTTGAGCATTCAACTTGAGTTTGTTTTGTCGATATTGGCTCTTTGTCCGCTTTTCTCTCTTATTCACGAACGTGCCGCTCGTGACCACAGAGTGGTCTGTTCTGAAATTTGTGGTTTTCTTTTTGGAGTTTTTGCTCGGTTGTGTTACGATCCTTGATCTGCCAGTCTTGTTTCTGACGTCTTTCACTCTTGCGAGCAAAAATGCACGCTGAGAAGTGCTCTCTCGGTGCAATGATCCCTCCGATGATGACACTTAGCAGCTCTCCTCACTTTGGACAAGCCAGCCGCATGCGATGTTCTGAAGAAATGAGAGGCAAAGACAGCAATTTTTCGACATTGCCTCGCGCCGTCGAAAATTTCCCCGAGGACACTTTGCGCGTACCTTCACATCAGGAAAACATTTTCTTTCCCTACATGATGGCGACAATACAAGTTTTTTGAGGCCTTGAAACTAGAAGATGAGCGATCGCAATGGATCAAAAATGTACCTCAGCGCCATGAAAGATAGATAGAAGATCTGTCAAAAATATAGTACTTGTTATGATAGGACGCCACCAAATAATACTGTCCAATTGAAACAGGACATACAAGCCGCACGTCAAATGGGGTGAAAAAATGATGTGTCAAAAGAAGCCGTCAAGAACAGCGAAGAATGTCTTATGTATCACGCGCTTAGTCACTAGCCAACAAAATGACTGATGCCAGCCGGCAAAGCGCCGAGCCCGCATGTCGTGTGCAATGCAGACCTGTCTCCGAGTCGCAGCAGAAAGAGCTGGTACAAAATGAGCCGCATAGCCGTACTGCATGACGCGCTGCCCCGGAGAGTGCTTATTCGTCTCTTTCGTCTTCGAAAGGCATACTCGTTTCGTCAGCGATTCTTTTATTCGATAGAGCACAGCATCGGAGTGCTTTTGGACAAGATAGGCCCGACGCCGCGTGTAAGCAATTTCTAGCCACTTGATTTTGGTCTTGAAACTGCACCTCACAAGGATGTGCTAAGATGCGCCTTGAGCCGGAATGACACGAAGCAACGCTAGGAATCACCATTGGGCAGATGATAGCTCGCCTTCACACCTGAACGAGGTGGCAACAAATTGAGCGCGAGCGAGCAATGTGATGGTTTTGCCAAGTCCGCCTCAAACATGGATGTGTTGGTACACGGCGAAAGTATAAGATTGTACAAAGCATTGCGCGACGCGTCTTTCCATACCCACGAGGCAAGAGCAGAGGCTTCAGCCGCGGGCCAGACGAGCTGCAAGCTCTTCAGGCTGCCCAGAAACCGTGGATGCAGAATACCCAAAGAGCACACTAAGCGTCAGGATCAGGCACATCGAGACCTGCTGCGCGTGCCTTGCGAAGGGTCGTTCGTGCTTGCAAGAGCATGGGAGTGTCAATCATGATGGTGGACCCATCTTTCTCTTTCAGACCCACTGCCCCCGCGCCTGCTGCGATGGACGACTCATAAGCCTCCTGAATGCGCGTGGCACGTTCGATATCTGTGGCGAAGAAATGCTTTGAGCAGCTAGCAGACGATGCGGATTGGACTAGTGACACGGCTGATCGACGGCTCACCCTCTTCGCTTGGCAGAAATGCTTTCTGAATGGCCTTGACCTGAGAGGGATGAATAGCTTGCTTACCGTCCATGCCGATCGAACGGCCTTCCAACGATTCCTCGCGAAGATACTCTTCGTCTTTGTAGTCGATGCACACCCTATGGAAGCGTGGAAGCAAGCGTCAGAGACTGGCTTGCGTTTCAACATCCTCTTTGTGTGCCCTCACATATCCTTACGAGCGCACCGCGGGCCACGTGACAGGGGCAGTAGAGAGGCATGTCAGATGATGAGGAAGGACGACAGCTACGAGAGAAGAGGAGTCCATCTTGGAGACTCACGATCGCTGCGAGGCCATGCGCCTTTGCGATTGTGGCCATGTGCGCTCTGGGGAACAGCAATTCCTTTCTGGAGCGGCTCCTCTGGATGCCGCTAGCCGCGCAGTAGTCTTCACTGGAAGAAGGAGGGAGGGGGCAGCATGGAGAATGATGAAGAGATGTGGCGCTGTCAGCGCGGCTGTGCAGTCAGCCCCCACCACGACTCGAGCCCGCGTTTGAGCTCACCTGGCGAACAAGAGGGCAGCAATGCCCTCCTCATGAAAAAGAGGATACACTTCGCCTATGAAAGGCTTACCATCGGCTTCATAGAAATTGCGCAGCAGCGAGTCCATCCTCATCAGAGAGCCGGGTGACTCTACAGAGAGAATGATCTGGAGTCTAGGTAGGCTGTGTGACGCGGGAGGTTGGCAAAGGTCAGGCCAGGTGGTGAAGCAGAGGTTAGGTGAGGTGAGGTGAGCCCTGCCCCCCGTCTGCAATTGACATTCTTCTTCACGGGATGGTGCCGATGGCTGCGACACGCGACTCACTGCTTTGGACGCAGATCGAGTGCCTTCTGCGACACCTCGCAGATGTCAAAGAGCCACTCGACCTTTGGGATCACGATGGTCTGTGTGCATTTGCGTTTGCGTCAGAGGGATGAAGGGCCATGATGGATAGCGCTTGCCTTGTGCTGAGCAAAGACTCACATCGAGACCGGGACAGGGCAGAATGGCTTGCAGATCCTTTTCCGATTCCTTGCGCGCTCCGAGGACAGAGTTGATGCGGACAGCCTTTTCTTGCGCTTGTCCGCAAGGCTGTGCGATTGTGATTGTGATTGTGATTGTGATTGTGATTGTGATTGTGATTGTAAGTCAGAGTGAAAGGCGTGTGTCACAGGCAGCATCCACGACGACGCATGGCATACAAGCACACGCACACGCACACGCACACGCACGCAGACCCACGCTGCGAACGACGACTCACGCCTTGCAAAGCCTTTGCCACGATTCTCCTGGCCTCCTCCTTCGCTTCGGGAGCCACGCTGTCCTCGAGATCGAAGATGATGGTGTCTGCCTGCGACGATGCTGCCTTGTCCACCATCTTCTGCGAGCTGCCAGGCACGTACAGCAGAGCCAAGCGTTGACGCGGCGCTGGCCATTCTTCCGGCCATTCTGGCGGCGATTCTGGAGGCGATTCTGGCGGCCATTTCGGATCGTACGCGGCATTCTTTGCAGCAGCAGCAGCATCACTATCACCATCCTTCCCCTCGCCTTGGCTGATGCTTCGATGTTGCGAGAGGCGCGGGACGGCGCTGCTGCATGCACCAAGGGGCTGTCGTCGCAGTCGCAGCGCATCGCGAGGCAATGAGAGGGTGCGAGGCTGAGGCTGATGCATCGCGGTGCTGCTCACGCAGCCACGCGGTGAGGTGACTGAGCTGCTCATCCTCGTCCCCACGGCGCCCTGCCATGAAACGACGGAGGGCGCCATGCGCTGCTGAGCTGCTGCTGCAGCACCAAGAGTCGCAGTGACCCATGTGCGCGTGGGCGTGAGCGTGAGCGTGCGCGGGGAGAGGCGGGACAGCATCGTTGTTCACGATTGTCATCAACTCGAAGCTCTCCTCGGGGGTCGCTATTGGCAGATGATGAATGTGATCGACGCAGTAGGGAGAAGAATCACGAACCGCGAATGTTGGTGCGATGAAAGACGAGGATGAGGATGCGGGTGCGGGTGCGGGTGTTGGGCGATGCAGGCACAGCGCGTAGATACACACGCCCACGCGCGCCGGTCGAGTCGAGTGTGGAGGCAGCAGCAGCAGCAGTCACGAGTCACGCGTAGCATCCGGCGGCATGTCGGGCGTGCACGAGCCACGCGTGGGCAAGTCGTGGATCTTGAGAGTCAAGAGTGCGACTATGAAAGGGCGCGCTAATCGTGATTCACGATTACAACTCACGTGACTCACATGTAAGATTTGAATGCGAATCACGAATGCGAATCTTGAATCAATGCATGCATGCACTTTGGCCAGGAAGCATTGACATTCACGGGATTCAAATTCAAATCAGGCGAGGGGCCCAAGGTCAGGCTCATGCCGTTCCCTTCACCATTCGTCTTCTCTACCACCCAGCCGCCATCACCGCCATCACCGCCATCACCGCCATCACCGCCATCACCATCTCCATGCTCCACAATCCAATCTCCCCCCCCTTACCAGTCATCCAGTCGACAAACCCTTACCCACACCCACACGCATGCCCTCCTCCACCGCTCACCCGCATCATCGCAATCACGCCCAGTCCCCCTGCTACATCCTGCGCCATCACGCACCTCATCCCATCACATCCACTCATCACGTCCGCGACCTGCTCTTGGCGGGTGACGATGCAGGTCGCGTCAGCCTGACGCGCATCAGTCATGCCAGCCCCGTTCATCAGTGGCATGCTCACTGTGACCAGCAAGGTGCAGCTAATGGTGCTGCCATCCTGGGCGTCAAGCTGTGGTTCGCAGCAGCAGCAGCAGCAGCAGCAGCAGCAGCAGCAGCAGTGCGCGAGGAGGGAGCAAGCGCAAAGCAGCACAGCAGCGACGCAGACGTCGACGTCGACGTCGACGTGAGGGCAGTGACGTGAGCACGGGCGCGGGCGCGGGCGCGTCCGCGCGCTACAAGAAGCAGAGCCGCCTGCCGCAATTCATCGCTCAAGCTGACACATGGCTGCACATCCACCAACACACACACACACACACACACACACACCCCAACACACACACGTTTGCCCACTCTCACAGCCACGCTCGGGACAATACGCTCAAAGTGTGGCAGTTGCCATCCACGTCGCGCAGACAGCTCAGTGAGCAGCACGCGCAGGCGATCCATGGCGCGCAGAGTGAGCAGCAGCAGCCTGCGCTCTTACTCAAGCTGGACGTCAATTCCGTCAACTTTTGCGCATTCGCCCTTCTCCCTCTCCCTTTCGACGCGCTGCAGCGATGGCAGCGTAGTGCTGGATCGAGCGATGTGAGCGTGCACCTTGCGCACCCTCAAGCCTTGATAGCCGTACCGAATACCGTGGAAGCTGCTTGGGTGAGCTGGGGAAATAGCTGCGCTTTCCATCGCCCATGCTCATTCGCTCGTGTGCCCCTTCTCTGTGTGGAGATTGATGTGTATCACCTGCCCACTTGTAGACGAATCGTCGCAGCGATTGGCTCGCCGCCTCTCGATGAGGTCAAACGGCCAGCAAAAGATCGACCGGGTCAGTGAGGCTCATGCGAGATGCACAGCGGTTCTCAAAGTCGCTAATCTTGCCCTTCCCATACTCGTCTCCTCTCCCAGGCATCGTCATGTCACTTCAGCTGTTCAGCCTCGATCACACCTCACCCAACTTTAGTCTCTTGGCAGGCTATGAGGATGGCCGGGTTGCGCTCTGGCACATGCATCACCGCTCATCTAGCACAACCAGTCCCACCACCTCAAGTCCCTCCGATCACCTCTGGTGGAAGCTGGCGTGGCAGGAGAAAGCGCACGTCGAAGCGGGTAGGTCGCGCTCTTAGCGTATCACAGCTTTCATGACGATTTAATTTTCATGCGCGTTCTCGTCCCACCAGTCATGGCAGTGAGCGCATCCTCGAGTCGCGCCTTTGCCGTGAGCGTAGGGGCGGATTCGCGAGTCGTCAAGTACTGCTTGGACAGCGGCGCGCACGCAATGCCAGACTCAGAGGCATCGCGGCAAGCAGCTGCTGCCGATGGTGGGCCTGTTGACCCTCATGCTTCGCCATTGGTCAAGAAGACGAAGCAGCAGGGTCGAGCGTCTGTGGACATCTCACGAGATGCGCGCATCGTCGCTACTGGAGGTTGGGATGGAGTGTAAGTCGTTTGGACCGGCTCAGTCCCCCTCTGTCCCGCCCTTTTGCTTACTTTCAAACACGATCCGGTGACACTGGCTGGGCTTGCAGAGTACGACTGTACGCCGCGTATGACTTGGTTGAACTCGGAGCGCTGCGGTATCACAAGAACACGGTCCAGTCTCTCGCTTTTGCGTCTGTCGAAGAAACTTCTGCCCCACGCAAAGCGCGTGTCAGAGAGGGCGATGACAGGGTGTGGGAGAATGCAGACGAGTCGGACGCCTCCTCCTCCTCCTCCTCCTTCACTTCTTCCGACGAAGACTTGCAGCATTCGCGCATCAAGCATGATCTAATAGCTGCTGGCGCCGACGGCAGAATGTCACTTTGGGATCTGGGCGACTTTGGTTTCAAGTAGAGTAGTTGAGCTTGGCTTTCATTTGCGTTCACTAGTAGCCTGTATATTACACAAACATTCAATAGCGAAGCTTGATAGTCTCGCCATCTGAAGCATTGTTGCGGTATCATTTCGACGAGCGCAACATGGTTCAGTCTAGATCGTCCAGCTCTAAAGAGCCAGGCATCCGTCTGCTGGTGCTCTCGCTGCCCGTTGTGCGACCTGGAGCGACAGTCTCTCCCCTAGCTCTGCGCTCGGCAGCAGTCCTCATACGTTCTCTTCTGCGCTCCGGCGTATCTTGCTCCACCTCCTCGTCCGTATCATCGCCTTGCACTCCTAGCCCATCATGAGCAGCTCTAGACGCTGAAGCTACAGATGAAGTAGCATCAGACGCAGTGGACGTCGCTGCTGCCGCTTCGCCCGATGCCGAGGGGCTCGTCTCGCCCGTGATGCTGATGCGGCAGACTGGACAAGTGCCCGACTTTGCTAGCCAGGGAAGGAGGCAGGAGGAGTGGTAGAGGTGCCTACATGGCACTGTCGCATGCAAAAGAGGGTCATCAGCGGACAGCACACGCACACACGTCTGACCAGTGAGTCATACTTACTCATCACCAGCTCCTCTTCCTGCGCATCAGAGTCAGTAGGCGTCATGTCCGGCGGGTCATCATCTTGTGAAAGTTGCGTCCCTTCCGCTTTGGCCTTCCCGCTAGCATGACCTGCTTGCGCGTCGGGCTCGTCAGCTCGTGAGGCCTCTGCGTCTGTAGTGGGCATAAAGTCGTCCATACAAGTGGGACACTCGACATTGCGGGCTTTGGCTGTGAAGAGCGCGTGCGGTACTCAGCGATCGGCTCGTACGACTTGCCAACAACACAAATGTGCTCACCTTTCCAAGCCAGCTCGTGCCTCTTGAACCTGGCCAGCTTTGCGATCTGCTCTTCATTTGCGGCAGGTGGAGCGGAACTTTGGCCCATGCCTTGCGTCTGGTTCATGAGCTCGGTGATGACATTGTCCAAACCTCCTTGTCCAAAGACGTAATCCCCCGCTCTCCCATTACCCCCCAGTGCGCCAGTCAGCAGATCCGCAATACCTCCGCCCATTCCAGGACCCAGAATGTTGCTAAAGACGTGTCGAAGAGCTGCCAATTCTGGGGGTGCACCAGCAGAGGTGTCGTCTTCTTGGCCTGCTGCATTATTTGGCCGGCCTCGATTGTCGTGATTGAATCGTCTCCCGTCAGCAGCTGCTCCGAAGCCACCCATGCCATCGTCGAATGGCAATTCATCGTCCGGATCGGCATCCGCAGGTCTGGATGGCGTGGTCTCCATCGTCCAAGGATCCGCATTGCCCTCTGAGGGCGAATCAGCAAAAGAGCGCATCAAGCTGGGTGCAGAAAAGAGGACGGGCTAAGCGGAGGCAATCTGCTGCCAGCTTGAACGCGGTCGATGACTTACTCTGCCAATGTTTGAGGCTGATCGGTGTCATTCGCTGCACTTGTCCTCTGCGGCCTGGGCTGAGTGGAAGATGAGCCCTGTCTGAGACCAGAAGGTGTCTGAATGGACCATGAAAAGTTAAAGGAGCTGCTGCTGCTGCTGCTGCTGCTCCCATTATTTCCCTCCCTCCCCTGGCTGCCATTCCCGCCACTGCGATCATCTCGAGCCGCGCGGTCTGGCTGTAGGCTGGGAGGATTGTTCGCGCCTGTAGCCGCACCTAACAGCTGACCGATCAACCCACTCCATCCTCCCATGCCTGCCTCCGCACCCGCACCCGCACCCGCACCCGGTAATGTGCCCCTCGAACCACCTCCTATCAACTGTTCCGTACCGCCGGGACCGCGCAAAAGCCAAGGTGCATCGATGTTTTCCTGCGCGTGAGGATCTGGAAAGGTAACATCGTCTGCGGATGGATCTCCAACAATCTGATGCAAAGAGAGTCGTGATGCGAGCAAAAAGTCGAGTCAGTGGTACGTTGCAAAAGGAAGAGAGAGAGAGTGGGTGTGTGTGTGTGTGTGTGTGTGCGTGGAGACGCATCGTCGGCGCTTGTGCCTCGCTCGAACTGACCTCTTCGATGAAGCCGCCGTTGCACCTGGGACAAGCGGGATGAGGCGTCCTCAAAGGTCTGATCTCCATTCTACACTCGTGGCACCACATCCACTCCGGATCGCCATGACTCGTGGCGGAGCCCGCTTGTCCGATGCCAGTCGCGCTGGCGCTCGAACTCGTCGTTGCTGCTGATTCGTCTGCCCGGCTGCTGGGCAGAGCCGTTGGGGGCGTATCGGATGACATGATGGGGATGAGGATGGGGAGAGATGCTGCCTGGCCTGTTTCAGGTCAAGGGTTCGTTCGGGCGGCGTCGCGATGAGTGGCCGGCTTCAGGAAGCTCGAGATGTGGTCGACGTGTAAGAAGGGGAAGGAAGATGGATGGCGCAAGCAAAGCAAGCGTCACTGGTGACGTTGTGAGAGGGCCCAGCCGAGTGCAAGTCAAGTCAACTACGACTACAACCCGTTGTGACTGAACTGCTCTCCGCTCCCTTCTCCACCATTCCATCTCCTGCTCGCTCGCTCGCTCCCGTTGCCGGGTTTCACGCAGAGCAGACCCCGCGCGTCACTTGATTCGTGATTAGTCGCTATACCTATAGCAGTGGCTGTGCGCCCGGCCGCCCGCCCCGCCCCCCAATGCGTGCGTGCGCGCAGTCAACCCGACGCGGGTAATTGCGCGGCTGATGAGCAATCAAGTCGAGTCGTGTGAGTTCCACGCGCGCGCACTACACGGGGACGTGCCCGCATGCGTATGCAGCCGCGAGCACTCAGCTCACAGCTATAGGCGGACGTGGAGGGTGAAGCGAGTTGGGCTTGGACGTGTGCACGCAGAGATGCTGGAGGGCAATGGTCCATCTTATCTGCACACCTCCAAATCGCGCAAGAGTTCACACATGGCATGCAGCACAACCATGAATTCGTTTGGTGATTGCATTCGAACATACTTCGAGCGTCGCTTCTACAATTTCTCCGGATCACGAAGCAATCTTCTTCGACGACTTCAAAGTTGGCGCGCTTCAAGCAGCGAGAGCAAATGTACTGGTAGGCGCGAAAATCTGTTGGCCAGTGGCATGGGCCGTAGCCATGACGTCGTCCCCATCGATGCTCTGCACCGTCACCCTGGTGCCCTCGTTCGGACTAGCCAGAGCAAAGCACATTGCACCTCTATTGCGAGGCTGCTTGGCCCTCAGCTCATCCAATCCAAACGTCTCTCTGCTCTTGCTAGCCTCCTCCAGCGACACCACTGCCGTTCGGGCTGCATCGTCTATGCTCAATATCGCACCGTTCGACCCTGCATACGGGCCAGAGGTGACGATAACTTGAATGTCTGGGATCAGCTTGACCTGCACAGTTGCAGTCGTTCGTCCAGCACCACCAGAGTGCATTGTCGAGATGCCAGCCCCGGGCGTGGGTGCGTATGCCGCGCTCCAGTTGCCAGCTCCGGGAGTCGGCGCAGCCATTGGAGCGCCTCCAGGTGTCTGGGCAGAGTACATGCCGGGCGTCGCCCCAGGGGTAGGCGCGCCAGCGTAGGGTCCTGATCGCGGCTGTCCCGGCGTCGGGGCAGATGCAGCGGGAGTGGGTGCTCCTTGGTACGCGGCCCCATAGGCTGCCGGTGTCGGAGCAGTGTCCCTAGGCGTGTTGGCAGCAGCATACGGATTAGGCGTTGCGCTGCCAATCGGCCCGATGCTCGTCGAGCCTCCGTATGCCGGCGTACGATTGCCCGCTCCGTATGCAGGCGTACGACCTCCAGCACCGCCGTATGCGGGAGTCCGCCCGCCATCGGCGCCGCCGCCACCAAAATACGCCGGCGTCCTCCCGCCATCTCCAAAGCCGTAAGCCGGCGTCCTTCCACCATCTCCGTACGAGTAGGCCGGCGTCTTGTTGCCTGCACCGTATGCCGGCGTTTTGCCGCCCGAGTTGTAGGCCGGCGTCCGACTGCCTGCTGCTGCGCCTGCTCCGTAGGCGCTGTAGGGATTGCTGTTCGGACGAGCGCCAAAAGCACCTGCGCCCATAGTAGGTGGGCCTATCGGTGCGCCTGGTCTCGCACTGAGAGGTTTGCTCTTGCCGGTGATCGGACTGAAAGAGTCACCTCGGGCGTCAGCCGTGGGGTTTGCCAATAGGCATTCCATGCAAACTTACTCTTTTTCGATGAGCGAGGTCAATTCTATAGTCAGGATTTTGGGCATGGTATGAAGCTCGACTCGAGCCATCGGTCCGTTGGTGTCCTTGATGATTCCCCTGTAGGTCTTGTAGGCGCCCTTGGTGATCGCAACGGTCTTGCCCGCCAAAAAGTCCCTGCCGCCAGGCCTGCTAAAGCTCGAAAGGGCTCCACCACCACCTCCAGCTGTATTGGGAGATGCCATGGACAGAGCTGGATTTTGCTTGGATAGATCCAATTTTGGACCGGTGGTCGAGCTACGTGGAGCCTTTGGACGGAGCTTTCTTGCTCGAGACAGGAAGACTCCGCCGTTTTCGCGCAAGTCGCGATTGAATAGCCAGATGAGCATGGATTGATAGACGTGCAAGACCTGCCCATCGCGCTCCTATAAATGTCGATCCAATCTGTAAGCAGGCCGCAGAAAGCCCGAAGTACGGTACGCTTCTCACTCACATCCTGATCTATCTCCTTCATCGTGTCCCCTGCTCTGAATTCACTTCCCTCGGAATCGAGCGCGACAGCTCTTCCCGAATCTCTCTTCATGGTGATCTGATGAGCGAGTAGCGACCTGGTCTGGCCCAATTGATCCAGCACAGAGAAGCCGCCCTTTTCGATCTTGAAAATGACACCCGCAGTCTGCGCATCGAGCTGCACTAGATCGTGCAGATTGTAGCCTCCAACATTGGTGACGCCGCTCCCCACTTCGGCGGCCTCGTGTATATCCTTGGTGAATACGCTGACTTCCTCTAGCGACAGATCCGACAAGAAAATAGTGACGTTGTCTTCCACCTTGACTACCAGGCCAGTCTCGTCGGTATGCTTGCCCGCAATGACCTTGATGTGATCACCGGGCTGAAAGCGTTTCCTGGCATATTTCACCGGCACCTCGATGGTCTGATGGTCGAGATTGCCCGTGGTGTCTTTGATGGTGATGACATCGCCGTGCACCGTTTCGACGGTTCCCTCCAGGCCCGCTTGTTCTCCTTCGAACACTTCTACATGATCGCCACGTCGAAGCAGCTGCTCCGCTTTGGCTCGGGTGGCCTCTGCCAGCAGATCAAGCTCGGCAGCGTTCGTGGCCAGCCCAGCAGCGTCGCTGCCTCCTCGGAATCGCGTCACTTCATCCAGTGTTGGGTTGACGTCCTCGGTGATGAATGCAGAAATTCTCACATCTTCTTCGCAGTAGCCGCTCCTGTACGTCTTGCCTCTGAACACGAATGCTGAGCCTGTACGCAAGGGTCTGTCCCTGGCAGGCACCAGGCGAGAGATTTCGTCGTAATTGAAAAATTTGGCCGCCGGTCTATCCTTGACCATGGTGCTTCCAGCCGAACCCTTTTTGCGCTTGCGACCTTTGCTGTCGATGAACTCTCCCATCTCGACGGGGGAGAGATCGATGCGCGGAACAAACTTGACGCCAACTTCGAGGCCGCCCTCGAGCGTTTCAATGACCTGCGCCAAGTCTCCCGTATACCTTCCCCTCTTGAAACGCACCCAGCTGCCGACTTTGAGCTCCTTGACCACTTTGGTGATGCGGAGCATGGTGGCCATCTCTTCTACCGGCACTTGCGTCAGCGCAGTTGGCGCTCTGGCGTACACGCCGACGATCTCTTTGCAAGCTTCCACAACGGCCTCCTGGCTCCAAGCTTCGACGTACATGCGCTGCGGGATGCTGTCCTTGTAAAAAGTGCTCAGGATATCCAAAGGTCGACCTTGCGCTTCCCGCAACATAGCTTTGCGGATCATCGTCATTGTAATTTCGCGCTCGCGTCCGGCCTGAGAGAGCGAGCGTGCGCGTCAGCATGATTGGTGCGTCGCTGTCGTCTTCGTGCAAGCTGGTTGTGCGCGGATGGCTCACCTTGCACTTGACGGACCACAAGGGAGGATCCTTGCTGGAAGGCATGAGCATGCGCTGCGGTACTTGACTGTAATCCGACCTCTGCGATCTGGACTGCTTGTAGCGTTCATTAAAGCCCGCAGCGATCTCCTCGGCTGAGCGATCCTCCGCCTGACGTCTGGCCCTATCTAGCCTCTGATTGTCGGCTGCAGTCTGCCTCCTGCGGTCATCGTCGCCTTCCTCGTCGTCATCTTGATCGATGAAGCCGTCTGTGAGTGGCGTGCAGTGCGGGAATCGGGTCAGCGGTGCGGTGCACTGCAGAGCGCGTGGGTGGCATGTATGCGTGCTCACCTTCGCGAGCCAATTCAGCCTCATCCTCGTCCATATCCTCTTCATCATCGTCCACCTCTGCTTCGTCGTCCAAGAATCTGTTGCCTCCCTTGCGTCTCTTTTTCTTCTTTCTCCTCTCATGTCCCGCACCACTACGCGTCCTCGTCTCATCCTCCTCTTCGTCGTCCTCCTCGTCATCCTCTTCATCATCCTCTTCGTCCTCTTCGTCATCCTCCTCGTCCTCGGATGTGCCTCGACGAGCGCGTCTAGGCTCACGCCTATCCTCCTCCTCCTCCTCCTCGTCGGAATAGTTTCGCGGGCGATGCTGTGGTGATGCGGAGCGTGAGGACATGGTGGGCAGTGGATGGCACCGGAGGAGGGGGGGGGGGGGGGGGGGGGGGGGGGGGGGGGGGGGGGCGTGATGCAGGGGGGAGTGGAATCTGCGAGCCAACGACGCTGCTAAGTGCTGCGCG